GAGAACAGAACCTACTCTGCGGGTGTTAAAGCATGTGTGGCCATTTTTAATTTCTACCGTACCTATCTTTTTCTTCCTCTGCATTGAAATCAGGTTTTGCAGTGTGGCTAGGCCGGTCTCAAATTCTTGGGTTCAAACAGTCCTCCTGCCTCAGCCTCCCTAGTAGCTGGGATTACAGGTGCATGCCACTGTGCCCAGCTCATGTACCTATCCTTTAACTTTGTTTTTTTTCTCTGTTTGTTTTTTTAACTTTGCGAGATATGTCATATATATGAAAGTGTGCATAAGACATATATGTGATGTAAGCTTAAAGAATTTATAAAGCAAAAAACTATATAACTAGCATTTAGAAATAGAATTTGATCTGCATCCCAGAATCCCTTGCCCAAATACTCCTCTCTCTTAGACATAACCCATTCTTTTGACTTTGTGACATTATCTTCTTGTTTTTTATGGTTTTAATATCTACACATGCATCCTGAAATTACTATTTGAACAGTGTTGACTGCTAGAAAGTTCTTCTTTATATCAAAACTTAATCTGTTACTCTAAAATTAGCACTTGCTTTAACCCTTGGGGTTACACATAACAAATTTAGCATCATTTTCATCCATAAGAATCTCGATTATTTCCTGTGTTACTTGGTTTCAATCCCATCTCATTTCACTATTCTATTTGTCCAATTTGTATAACTTTCTTGGAAAATATGATTCCCCAGTATAGGATAAAGTACTCTACCTCTGGTTTGCTATCTAAGCATAGGACTAAAAAAATCCCATCTCTCATTCTAGATCCCAAACTTCTATTGATTGGTGATGGCCAAACACAGTGATGCCTAATGCTGAGCTTATGAGACTAGAATATGTCATATAAAACAGTGCCTAGGGCTTAATTTATGGCTACTGAATGAATATATGGAAGAATAAAAAAGCCTTGTTAAAATATGCAGACCAGAATATGGCAGAATAGGGAATTCCTAGTCTCTGTACCTCTACAATAGCAAGAAATAAGTTGCAAAACTGTCAGAATCAGCTTTGTTTTGAATTCTGAAATTTCATTAAAAAATTACAACCAGAGAAATGGTTAGTGAAGAAAAAACTGCTGAATTTTGGTAGGAAAGCTATGTAGCCTTTTAATTTACCCTGTTAACATTTCCTACTTCCCAGTTTGGCAGCGGCCTTGAAAACAGAGCTCATATTTCTTGAGCAAGGTGCTGGTAGCAGAGGGAACAGTACAGACATTATTCTCCAAGAATTGTGGTTGTGTATTTCGATTTGCCTGGTGATTCCACAGGATCAGCTTAAGGGCTTCCCTCCCCACCCTTTTTTTCCCCCAGGGCTGGGATGCTTTATGGACAGCATTTGTTGGAAACATTTAGATGCAAATGTATTAGCTGTTACCACCTGGTGCAAGAAATAACACTCAGGGTAAGAAACAGACCCAAAGCCTGAAGTTCCTTGGGGGATAAGGGCTGTGTAAGACTCTGGTATATTTCAAGGAATCTGGAAGCCTATACAACACACCTGCTCAGGGCAGGAGAGTTGCTCAGAAAAGACGTGAGAAGACCCTAAGCTCTTACTTCTGGCTGCTCTTCAGACCCTGAGCAAGAAGGAAGTTGAAGGCTAAGGCAGAGTTGTAAACCTCCAGGCTAAATGTTGAAGAAATGCTCTGACACAGACCAACCTGCCAAGTGAGGGAGATTCTTTTGTTTGGTTGGTTGATTGGTTCTACAGTTAAGAAAATTCCTGTCAAATTTTCAGTGGACTGTGTTGTTCTGATGAAATGGAGAGTTCAGGGACCACAAACTACAAAGAGTAAAGACAGCGACATTAGTTCACAAGTTCACAAACAAACAACTACAATAAGCAATCAAAACAAACACTGGGAGTGTGAGGAAATCATATTTTCAGAGATACTATATTATAAAGCTAAAAATGACCAATTTTCAACAAAAAAATTATGAGCATGCAAAGAAACAAGAAATATAGCAGAAAAAAAGGAAATTATAGAAACTTTCCACGAAGAAGCCCGGGCAGTGGACTTACAAGACAAAGTTATCTATCTATCTATCTATCTATCTATCTATCTATTTATTTATTTATTTAGAAACAGAGTCTTGCTCTGTTGCCCAGGCTAGAGTGCCACGGTATCAGCCTAGCTCACAGCACCCTCAAACTCCTGGGCTCAAGCGATTCTCCTCCCTCAGCCTCTGGAGTAGCTGGGACTACAGGTGCCACCACCACGCCCAGCTAATTTTTTCTATTTTTAGTAGAGACGGTCTTGCTCTTGTTCAGGCTGGTCTCCAAACTCCTGACCTCAAGCGATCCTCCCGCCTCAGCCTCCTAGAGTGCTAAGATTACAGGCAAGAGCCACCGCGCCCGGCTGGAGACTTCTCAAAGAACTAAAAACAGAACTGTCATTCAATCCAGCAATCCTGCTACTGGGTACCTACCGAAATGAATGCAAATCGTTATATAAAATAGACACGTGCACTTGTGTGCTTATTGCGGCACTATTTACAATTAGCTAAGCCATGGAGTCAACCTAACTGTCCATCAAGGGATGATTGGATAAAGAAAATGTGGTATATATATATACCATAGAAGACTACCCAACCATAAAAAAGAATGAAATCATGTCTTTTGCAGCACATGGACTGCACTAGAGGCCATTATCCTAAGTGAAATAACTCAGAAACAGAAAGCCAAATACCCACGTTCTCACTCATAAGTGGGAGCTAAACAATGGCTATGCATGGGCATACAGTGTGGACGAATAGATATTTGAGACTTCAAAAGATGGGGGTGTACAAGAGGGGCGAGGGATGAAAAATTACCTACTGTGTACAATATACTATTGGGGCGATGGGCACACTAAAAGCCCAGTTTTCACCATTATGCACTATATCCATGCAGCAAAACTGCAATTGTACCCTCTAAATTTATATATTTAAAAAAACCCAGAAAAGATGGAATTTAGTAAGTGAAGTTCCCTTGTAATCTTTACACTTATCTTGACCTACGTCTCCCCTTATGTACGTTCTTGAACATACCTTATGAGGCCCATTTCCCTTTACAGACAAGGCAGAAGCAAGTATGAGTTAGTCTATGGGTTGTTTGTCCCATGTAAAACTTAAATTGTTATCCTGCTCTTATCCATCTGGGGCCCTAAGGTGAGAGTTTTGCTATAAAGTACTTCGGTTTTTGTTTTTTAAAGAAACATTTGAGGGCCGGGCGCGGTGGCTCACACCTGTAATCCTAGCACTCTGGGAGGCCGAGGCGGGCGGATTGTTTGAGCTCAGGAGTTCAAGGCCAGCTTGAGCAAGAGCGAGACCCCATCTCTACTAAAAATAGAAAGAAATTAATCGGACAACTAAAATATATAGAAAAAATTAGCCGGGCATGGTGGCGCATGCCTGTAGTCCCAGCTACTTGGGAGGCTGAGGCAGAAGGATTGCTTGAGCCCAGGAATTTGAGGTTGCTGTGAGCTAGGCTGACGCCATGGCACTCTAGCCCGGGCAAAAAAGTGGGACTCTGTCTCAAAAAAAAAAAAAAAGAAACATTTGAGGATTGTTCCTTTCAATATGGAGTCTTTACATGGGCTGCATTTATGAAAAATATTTAGGCGTTCTGGGAATACCTTCGAAGCCAACCTTAGCATGGTTTATGTACAATTAAACCTCTCACTTTTACACTTTAGAGTCAACTTGGCTCCCAGTCTTTCCTAAACCTTCCAAATGGTTTATTTCATGTTTTGGGCTATTCTGTATGCTGTATGTGCTGTAGCCATTTTTGCACCTACAATTCCCGGGTTTTCTGAATTGGCAACCGTGCCCTTTCTGATCAGAGTCGCCCTCTGCTGGTCGGAAGTTCGACTGCCACCAGCAGTAGCCCGCAGACTCTAAGGTCTCCCTGCAGCGCGTCCGGACGCCGGACGCGGTGGCGCGCGCCTGTAGTCCCAGCTACCCGGGAGGCTGAGGCAGGAGGATCGCTTGAGTCCAGGAGTTCTGGGCTGTAGTGCGCTATGCCGATCGGGTGTCCGCACTAAGTTCGGCATCAATATGGTGACCTCCCGGGAGCGGGGGACCACCAGGTTGCCTAAGGAGGGGTGAATCGGCCCAGGTCGGAAACGGAGCAGGTCAAAACTCCCGTGCTGATCAGTAGTGGGATCGCGCCTGTGAGTAGCCACTGCACTCCAGCCTGGGCAACATAGCGAGACCCTGTCTCCTTTTGAGTTCTCACCTTTATTAAAGTATGTTTTCTTCCTACGGATCTTTAACACAACAGAAAGTGCTGCATTTACATTCTAGCACTACTGCTTTCCTCGCTACACCGTGAATCCCCCCAGTGGGGAATCTTGGCTTATTTTCATTTTTACCTTACTTCACCATTGTCTAGTGAAACACTGGAATATTCAGGCTGTCCAGCGTTTCTGAAGCACCAATTGTACACCAGGTACTACGCTGAGTCTCGGGAATACCAAGACCGCGGGCGGATGAGCATTTTACAATACGGCGCAGAATGCTCCTTCGGACAGCAGAACCCACCAAAACAGGAACTCCTGTTTGAGGGTTCCTCTTGATCGCTGAGGGTAATCTTAGGAGGAATCAAACAGCTCTGCTTTGTTACATCTCAAAATTTTACACGTCCAAGTAGCCTAGCGGGCAGGGGTCGTTGCTCTTCTACGCTGAGTCTTATAGCCCACCTGGGGAAATCCTCCTTGTAATTGCCGCGAAAATTGTTACGACCAGCAGGGGTCACTGTGGAGGCAAGCTCGAGTCCCAAAACACAAGGGTGCAAGGTGTCCGGACTAGTCCACAAGGTTTAACGAAGGAGTTCAGTTTCAAGAGAATAGTTTGGATCGATTTCGAATTGTTTTGGTACAAAGAAAAGCGAATCCACAGCAATTTCACAGCTGAATTCTTTATGGAAGCGACGCAAGTTACGTTCGCTTCAAGGAATATTGGGTCTTCTGCGCTGCCGTAGATCTCCGCCAAGTGCGCCTGCGCGGAAGAGTAGCGGTGTCGAGTCAGGCAGTCAGAGAAAACTGCGGTGGCGACCCTCAAACCTAACCATGAAGACCCGCTTTAGCACCATTGACCTGCGCGCCGTGCTCGCAGAGCTGAATGCTAGGTACGATCCCCCAAGTGACCAGGCTCGTGCATTGAGTGCAGGAGGCAGAGGCCGGGGCCCCACGGGTGAAAACAAGACTAGTCTGATGTTTCCCCTTATTTCCTAAGTGCTTTTCTTCTGTGGACCTGGCTAGGCCTTGGGTGGGCGAGCGCGTGGCGTCTTTCCCGTGGTCCTCAGGATACCTTGGGACCCCTAGGTACCGCGTGTCCCATCCCGCGCCCTCTCGGCTCTCTGCCTTGTCTTGCTAGTTCCCCTGTCCCGCTAGCGCGACGCTCTTGCCTTATTGGCCTGGGTCACCCGTATCCGGCAGCAACGTTTGGTAGAACAAGAGAGGCCAGAGTGGTCATTTGCTGCACAAGTTTTCCAGACCAGAAGCCTGGTTTCTTTAATGCCCCTCCCCCCAAAGAGAGAGAGCACTGCTATGTTAGCTGGATTTAACAGATTTGGACTGAGACCGGGATTCTAGTCTTGTTTGTATTATTAAGACGTGTGAGCATATTTGGGGGGGCTCGTTTACCTTCCCCCCCCACCCCGTAATACAGTGACTGGATTATATTTTATTATGTTCTCCTTTCCCCCCAGATAGGGACATTTCAAAGAGGCAAGGCATTGTAGGTGTTCCTAGGGCAGATACACTACTTTTGTTTTTAAATGGTACACTTAAGTTTTGGGCTGAAAACCTGTTGGCCTCCAGGCTCTGCTCCCTAGTTGACCCCAGATCCTTAGATCCTAAGATTCCCCTCTTTCCCAACTTTAATTAAATTGTGTGCAGTTTTATGTTTCCAACAATAGTACGATTTATTACTTGTTTCCTTTGTCTTTGCAGCTTGCTAGGAATGAGAGTAAACAATGTTTATGATGTGGATAATAAGACATATCTTATTCGTCTTCAAAAGTAAGAACATTTTAAAGGCTTGTTTTACTTTTTGGTAATTAAGTATGAGATTACTGATTTTTTTATTTGCATTTTAAGTCTGTTTCACAGAGTTAGCTTTGGCAAATGCCCTAAAAAAATTTTGACTTTTTTCTTCTGCAGACCAGATTTTAAAGCTACACTTTTACTTGAATCTGGCATACGAATTCATACTACAGAATTTGAGTGGCCTAAGAATATGATGCCATCTAGTTTTGCCATGAAGGTAAATTTTGAGTTATACTTGAAGCTAAATTTTAAGAGATTGCTCACTAACAATTGAGTTTTTAAACTGGTTTTCTTTCACTGTTATGAATAAAATACAAATAAAATGAAGGTCGAGGGAGTAGTTGATAGATAATGGGATGAATAAAGTAGATATTTATTAATTGATTTGTCCCTGTTACCTTTCACACCCTGTTCTGCTCCAAATCTTTCTTTTCCCAGTCACCGTTCTAGTTCATGCTTTCATCATGTTCAACCTTATAGTCTCTTAACTATAGTCCACTTCTCCCCACCAAAACAATTCTAAATTAAACCAACATTAATTTTTCTAAAGCATTGTTTCATTAGTTATCTCACCTTTAATGGTTGCCTAATTTCTGAATCCATATTCTATATCCTGGTATTATTGGCTTTCTATGTCCTCCCCTTTATTTTCCTAGCCTTATCTTTCAGAACCCACTTTTGTGAATTGTTTTCCTCTACCCAGTCTGTATTTTGTTGGAATACTCAATGACATTAATGTATTACTAAGCCATATCTTTTTACTTGTCACTTCTCTCTTTGCTTTTGTTTTTACTATTAAAACTGAGATTTTACATTTGTGGACATGTTACCCATTATTTTATTGGCGTAATATATAGATTGAAAGTTCATGTGGTACAGAAGAAAAACTTTAGATAAACCTGAATTTAATGGTTTTGCCGGTAAATAACTTAACTTGGAGAAGCTATTTAACATCTTGGAACTTAGATTATTTAAATGTAAAATGTGAATAGTACCTCCCTTGTGGAGTTATTGACGAGGATTAATTGAAGTGACGTGTAAAGCATCTAACACAATGCCTGACACATATTAGAGTTCCATATATGTTCATTTCCTTCTTCCTCTCTTCCTCACTTTCCTTCAGAAATTTATTTGTTATGGCATTGTGTTATTTCATTAGAGGCTTTACAGAGAAGAGCTTTGCCCCCAGCAACTTAGAATCTGTTTTGGATTACAAGTTAGGTAAGTGTTTCCCATATCACAAGGACTGTCACACAATTATCAGATTATTAAGGTTAAATTTACTTAATAGTAACCCAAAGTGGTTCTCTTGGGGCTTATCCTTAATAATAATGACACTTTACATAAAGCAGATGAATAGTATATGTTTCACTTAAGTTGTTTAACAGCTCAGTGGAGTGTGAAGAACAAATATTATCATTTCAGTTTTACAGAT